ATATATATATATATATATATATATATATATATATATATATATATATATGTATATGATTTCTTAATCATATCACGTGAGATGCACCATTTCTTAACTAACCATTTGATCTTAAACATTTATAAGCTTAATTTTGAAAATAAAATTGAAAAATAAGAGCAATAATAATAATAATAATAATGAAAAATAAAGCTTACTAGGACGATAACGTTGATGATCCAAGAAGAGAAACGGGAGGGCTCCACAACGCCATCGCCACGGAACTCCAAAAGCACATCCAAATAATCCTTTTTTCTTTCTTCTTTTTTCTCTTTCTCCATGGATCTTTCTTTTATGAACTCGCCGGCGATTTCAAACGCCTCCTTCACATGAAACTGCGTCGTTCTCCTAATCCCCTGCGGGTCGAACCACCGGAACACCCGTAGAAAGTCCGCCACATTCGGCGTTCCGGCCGTCTCCATCACCCTTCTCGTGTGGTAATAGAATTCCTTCCCCCTCTTCGAATTGGGCCCCACTAGATCTTTCGAAAATATTAGGTTCCCGATTAAATTAAAGCTCATTATAAAGAAGAATTTCCCCACGTCCATCGGCGGCGCGTACCAATACGCGCTTCCCTTTATTTCATCTTCCACATATTGGATCATGGCATCGACGCAACGTCGGCGGACGTGTTGCATGGCGTCGAGCCGGCGAGTGACGAAGAATTCGCTCGTTGCTAATCGCCTCAGCATTCGCCAGTGGGATCCGTATTGGGAGGTGATTAGGGAACCTTCTGTGCCATGGTCCCCCTTCATTGCCTCGTAAATCATACGCCCCGACAGCGGCGCGTCGTGGTTTTTGAACATCTCTCGTGCTATGGTGCTCGATGAGACGACCACTGTTTTCATGGACCCGAGTTGGAGGGTCATGATTGGGCCGTACTTAGCGGCGAGTTTTGTGAAGGATTCGTGAGCGGAAAAACTGAGTTGGAGCAAGTTTCCGACCACTGGCCAACGCGTTGGCCCCGGTGGAAGCTGCTCACCCAGCGCTGCCGCTCCACGGCGGCGCCACACCCATAAACCCCACAGAAAAGACACTAAAATAAGCGCTGCAATTTCTATCTCCATGCGAGTTGTGTCTGGTGGCTTTTGGTTCTCGTGATTTATAGCCACGGGAAGAAGTGTTCCCTCTGCCCCGTCAACACCGGTGGTCGGTAAATGGTGGTGCTATTTCGACATTTAAAAATAAAAATCAATATATCCACTGAGTTTTTAAAATTTTTAATTTTAAAATTTAGTTTGATTAATTTTTTTAAAAATTTATGTATAAACATAAATTTGATTTTTTTTTTAATTTTAAATTTGTAAATACTTATTATACATTTAGATAGATATTAGACATTTACCAACCTTAAAGTTAGTTACTAAATTTATACGGTTATTATAAGTTTAGAAATGGGGTTTTGATGTTATTACATATTAAATGAATACGACTCTCTTTAATAGTATGACATTGTCCATTTGGAGCATAATCTCTCCCAACTTTGCTTTGGGCTTACAAAAGGTCTCCTACTAATAGATATAGTATTATTTAATTATAAATTCATAATTATTCCTTAAATTAGCGGACGTGAGACTTTCATTATGTAACATTACACACCTAAATAAAATTAATTTATATATTTATTCGAAATTTCATGTCTACATTATTCAAATATGTTAATCAGAAAATGCTTTTTTTTTCTTCTTTTTGGTCTTTTAAAACAAAATTTTTATGGATTCCAAATTGGTTTAAAAAAACTATTCATCTTCTTCGCTAGAAAGAAAAGAGTCAGGGACCATTTATAACTTAATTGATTTTTCTGAAAAAAAAAAAAACATATATAATGTCAATAATTGTACCCCGATTGATTAATTTTTTTTTTAAATGTATATTAAATTAGTATGTCAATTTTATTAGTGGTGGGGATATTAATTTTTTATTTTCTGGCCATTTCCAACGTTATTTTTTTTTTCAGAGAAAAATAAAATAATAAAAATTTAAAAAACATTAAAAAAAAAAAAAAAGCCACTATCGGTAGAAAAAAAATACCTCACCGGTGACTTAAATTATTGGGCTAGTAACTATCAACTTTTACAAAAATAAAAATAAATAAATAAAATTTTGACTAAGCTAATCCACTAGTAATATGCTTTCCGATTCTTATCCATTATTAAGACTTAATTTACGTCATTTATTTTAACATAATTTAATGATAATTATTAATTTCAATAAAATCAGCTTTTATTTAAATGAAACGCAAGGTAACTGAGTCCCAAATGGCTTTGTAATTATAATGAAATTTAGTTTTTTTAATCCTAAATTAAAATTGAAAATTTAAAGTGAAAAATTATTATGGAATTTGAAAAAGTGGGGCCACATTTGAAGATGATGATTTACAAAATCGTGGGCCTGAGAAGTTGGACTGGATCTTGTTGGTCCCCGCTTTATTGGGCCCAGATTATTTTTTATTATTATCCAATTTAGTGTTGTTTTGTATGAATATATTTTTAATTTAGATTTGTGGTCCATGTAAGCTCGTATACTAAAGATTGGATAAATTTTATTTTTTGCTTCCAGACAAATTAATGATATCATTAACAAATTATTTTTTTATTTTCAATTCTAATAATGTCAATATAACTCCAATTTGAATATGGTCCAGATAGTTGTTCACACAAAATTGTTTAAAATATTTATATGGAATTAAAAATAAAATAAAATAAATTATTAGGTACAAAAATATTAGAGATTAAAAAGTTTAAGATTTAATATTAATAAAATATTAAAAAGCACATTTCTTTGCAACGATTCACTCATAGAAACTTCATAATTGAACGTGCTTTAAATGAAATAATTTTACGTTAGGTGAACTCTTTTAATAAGCGATGATTAGATAACATGACCATATCGATGAGTAGTTTTCGTTTCAAAATCTTGGACTTAGATCAAATCTTGGAGAGAGAGAAAATCGAAAAACATAGTAATTTGTTGTATATTTAAATGTAGAATAAGATATATTTGTTTAGATTTTATATCTAGAAAATTAATATATAATTAATATTTTTTAAACCTCTCATCAAATAAAAGAGCAAATACGTTTCTTTTTCTGACACGTAATAAAACTTTTGGACTCTTATCATTTAAAATTAAAATAAAAAATAAATAATAAAAGTTAAAATGTTATAATAATATATTTAAAATTAGAAAAATAAGATATGATGTTGAATTTATAAATATTTGAACCCACTTTTAGCGATTTGGTATTAAGACGTCACGAATATGGAGAAATACTTTTAAACATTTATGCAATTTTTATTCTCGTTTTTAATTAATCTAAAGGGCCTATCAATAAATAAATAAATAAATAAAAGGCGAAGAAGATTTATTCAATAATAAAATGCAATGATTTATTTTTAAATTTATCACATAAAGTAACAATGTATTTGCATGATGTTTATTTGTTATTTTTAAATTAAAAAGTGAATTATTATAAATACGTTATATTAATTTTTTGTCATTACACTATTTTTAATTTTATTTTGTCCCATTTATATTTTTTTTGTTATATTATCTATTTAGTCATCTTTTAAAAGTGCGAGTCACTGTAAGATCACGTACGTATGTGTATATATATATTAATTTTTTTTATTAAGAATAATATACTCTTAAATTTTAAATAAAATTAGATGATTGTTCATCATAGGAGTTGATTGGCAAAGTCATATACGTAGGTTAGTTATAAACAAAATAATCGTTAATTTTTTGTTTTTTTGTTTTTTTGTTTTTTAATTATTGTTTTATTTTAGTTCAAGATTTTAAAATGAATTTTGACCAACGTTTTGGAGTTTGGTCGAATGGGCTTATGATTAAGCCCAAAGTAGAAGCCCAAATATTTAAATACCATAGATTTAATATTTGTTGAAATAAAATATATATTTTTTTTTAGTTTAAATGACTATTTTAAAATGATAAGTTAAAATTTAAAAATACCTGTTAAATCTAAAATAAATTTTCTTTTAATTTTAAAATTAAGACCCATATGGCCGGACCGACATGGACGGCCTGGAGAGCTGAAGAACGGGCGTTGCCACCGTAATATTGAGTCGCCGGCATGCCCTCGGCAGAGACGGTGAAGGAGGTGAAATTTTCAGAGGCAATGAGCTGGATTTCGCACCACCGGCATTCGGAGATCTCTGGGTCGACGGTTTCGAGAGGGCTGCATCGCCGGAATCCATGGCGGAGGAGACATAAATTACAGAGAAAATGGTAAATTTGGGAACGCCAATCCCGCCTTCAATCACCATTTTTTAATGTTAAAGAAAAAAAGAAAAAAAGAAAAAAGCGAAAAAGTGGGAATGGCATCGGGAAAAAAGCTGAAGCAATTGCTTGACTTTAGTCGACAGCATCACTGTGGTCGTGACATAAATTGAAGGGCTTTTATGGAAATATGAAAACAGTGGAAACAGAGATAGTAATTTTTCCTTTTTTTTTTTTAATAAATAAATAATAGTATTAAAGAAAAATGTAAATAAATTTAGAAAGGTTTATAGGGTGAGCAAGCATGTTGATAACCTTATTAATCATTTCAAATGGGTGGGGGAGGAAGCTTGCTTTGCACTGACTTAAAGTTCTCACCTTTTTTAGTTTTTTCTAATTAAATAAATAAAATAAAAATACTCATTATTTACTTTGACTTTCTTCTTTTCGGTAAACGTTTCACGGTTCAATGGTATGTCTGATATTATTCCGTTTGAGTATTTTCTCACAAGTGATTGGTACGATATTGTCTACTTTTGAGCATAAGTTCTCATAAGCTCTCGTAGCTTTATTTTGGACTTTCCTAAAACGTCTCATTTATTTTGGGCTTCCCAAGTTCTCAGAAGAAGTTCCCATTCTTGACTGAATTGATTTATGAAGAGTGGAGGACAGCAATGATGGAATCAACCCGTCTGGGAGTTTCAATCCCCCTTAATTTTTGATAATCATGATTTGTTTTCTTAATTAATTCTCACATCCTTTAATCATTCCAATTCCCTTTCTCTGTAGGGACTGGCAGATCAAAAAGATTCTGTTTCTTCTTCATCTTCTTCTTCCTCACTCACTCAGACACAGACAAACCGATAGGACATTGGTTCGCTTTTATCAACTTGGGTTCCTTCAAACAAAGACACCCTTCTTCCTGACTCTTCCCTCTCAGCCATTTCTCCCACCCAATTGCCCACAGATCATCATCATCATCATGATGCCGGCGAACATTTGCAGTTTCGCCGTCGCCCTCTTTCTCTCTCTTACCCTTTTGGCCTCTGCTTCTCTCTCTTTGGACGACGGCGACGACACCTCTGCTCTTACTCGCTTCCGTCTTCAAGCTGATTCTCACGGCGGCCTTCTAAGAAATTGGACTGGTTCTGATGCCTGTGCTTCTTCATGGCGTGGAGTTCAATGCTCTGTTAATGGCCGTGTTGTTGCTCTTTCTCTTCCTTCTATGAACTTACGAGGACCCATTGAGTCTCTTGCGCCGCTCCACCAGCTCCGCGTTCTCGACCTCCACGACAACCGTTTGAATGGTACCATTTCGCCGCTTCTGAACTGCACGAATCTCAAGCTGTTGTATCTCTCTGGCAACGACTTCTCTGGAGAGATTCCGCCGGAGATCTCTTCTCTACGGCGACTCCTAAGGCTAGATTTGTCAGATAACAACATCCGCGGCGGAATCCCGGAGGATCTCGCTAAATTGTCTCGGCTTCTTACACTCCGTTTGCAGAACAATGTTCTCTCCGGTACGGTGCCCGATTTCTCTGTTTCGCTTGTGAATCTCACTGAACTTAATTTAACCAACAATGAACTGTCCGACCGGTTACCGGACGGGATGATGAAGAAATTCGGCGAGAAGAGTTTCACTGGAAACGAAGGGATTTGTGGATCGAGTCCGTTACCGATCTGTTCGGTTACTGGTTCACCGCCGGAGATGGATTCTAGCAGAACGGTACCTTCAAATCCAAGCTCATTGCCGCAAAACCCTATCATCAGTTCATATAATAAAGAATCGCGAAAAGGGCTTAGCCCTGGCGCGATTGTCGCGATTGTGATCGCAAATTGCGTAGCGTTGCTTGTAATCATCTCGTTTATTGTGGCGTATTACTGCGCTCGTGATCGTGACCGGAGTTCAAGCTCCATGGCCGGAAGCGAGAGCGGTAAGAGAAGGAAGAGCGGAAGTAGCTACGGCAGCGAGAAGAAGGTGTACGCCAACGGCGGCGGCGACAGTGATGGCACTAACGCTACAGACAGAAGCAAATTGGTGTTCTTCGATTGGAAGAAGCAATTCGAGCTTGAAGATTTGTTGAGAGCGTCGGCGGAGATGCTCGGAAAAGGAAGCTTGGGGACTGTTTACAGGGCGGTGCTGGACGACGGTTGTACGGTGGCGGTGAAGAGATTGAAGGACGCAAACCCATGTCCGAGGAAGGATTTTGAACAGTATATGGAGGTGATTGGGAAGCTTAAGCATCCAAATATTGTTAGATTGAGAGCTTTTTACTACGCTAAAGAAGAAAAGCTTCTGGTTTATGAATATCTTCCAAATGGGAGTCTTCATAATCTTCTCCATGGTTGGTTCATTGATGAAGCTTTTGATTGCTTACAACGTGTTTGATGAAGAATTTGGTTGATTTTGTTTTGTTTGTTTGTTTGTTTTGATCAGGGAATCGAGGGCCAGGGAGGATTCCATTGGATTGGACGACCAGGATCAGTTTAGTTCTTGGAGCTGCTCGTGGGCTAGCAGCCATCCATGGAGAATACAAAGCTTCAAACATTCCCCATGGCAATGTCAAATCTTCCAATGTTCTTCTCGACAAAAATGGAGTTGCTTGCATTTCCGATTTCGGGTTGTCTCTTCTTCTCAATCCCGTTCATGCCATTGCACGGTTGGGAGGATACAAAGCACCCGAACAAGACGAGACGAAACGACTCTCTCAAAAGGCAGATGTTTATAGCTTTGGAGTTTTGTTGTTAGAAGTCTTGACGGGGCGTGCTCCGTCGCTCTACCCGTCACCTTCGCGCCCACGTAACGACAAGGAAGAGTTGTCGGTGGACCTCCCGAAATGGGTTCGATCCGTGGTGAAGGAAGAGTGGACGGCTGAGGTGTTTGATCCGGAGCTATTGAGGTATAAGAACATTGAGGAGGAGCTTGTGTCTATGCTTCATGTGGGGTTGGCTTGTGTTCTTCCTCAGCCTGAGAAGAGACCAACAATGGCGGAAGTGACAAAGATGATCGAAGATATTAGGGTCGAGCAGTCCCCGCTCGGAGAAGACTACGACGAATCGCGTAACTCGCTTTCGCCTTCCATTGCCGCCACAGAAGATGGTATGGCGTAGCCATAAGTTTTGAGGTGGATTGTTCCTTGAGATGATGTTTAGTTTAAGTTAATATTCTCTGCATTTTCTCATGCAAATTTATGTATTTATTAGAATTTCTTTGGTGATTACTCTTAGAAACTTTGATCCATGTTTGCTCTGCGTGACAGTGGGAAGCTTCACTTGATCTTCCCATAAACCCCTCATTAAGCTAATTAATTAGTTCCCTGTCATGTAATTTAAGGGTTCTTTTTAATTTTTTTAATTCTCATGTAAGTCTTAAAATAAGGTAATATAATGCCATCGTGGATTTTATTTAATGTTCATAAAAATATTGTTTGTAGATAAATTATTTAAACAAAGAAATTTTAAATATTAATATTTATATCGGTGACAAAGTGAGTATAGCTCAATAATAATTGACATGTAATCTTTTCCTTGAAATTAGAGTTTCATTGCTCCATACATAAATTGTGAAAATTGTGAGATCCACGGATGATGAAAGTTTCACATCGACTAATTTAGAGAATGATCATGGGTTTCAAGCAAAACCATGAGAGCTTATGCTCAAAGTAGACAATATCATACTATTGTGGAGAGTCATGTTCGGTTAAAAATGAAAATAAGCATTTCTATAAGGGCTTGAAAATCGAAAACCTCTTCCTAATAGACACGGTTAAAAATAAAAATAAGTATTTCTATAAGAGACACGTTTTAAAACCGTTATAAATGGTACCAAATTGTATTAAACTTTTCAATTTTGATTTGGATTTATGGAAGATTGGGTGATGACTTTATGAAGAAACGACATGTTTGACCTTTTGGGTTTTGATTTGGAATAAGCCAAAATATGGAAGATTGAGTGATGTCTTTTCTGGCATCCTTCCCACCAAACAGCCTTCAAAAGTTGCTCATATTTTACTATTGAATGTACATGTTTTGTGTTGAATTCATGGGTTGAAAATGGTGAGAATGAGCCAAAGTGACACTCAACTAACAAACACTTCAAATACATTACTTAACAGGTATACCTTTATTTTGATAAAGATAACATGACCACCAATATACTTCAACTCTGTCATAACCACAACATCATCTATTTTCTTAACCCTAGCCTTCCACTGAATCAATATTAATATACATACAAATACATTACAATACAGATGCAAATGCAAATGCAGAAGAAATTTTGGCAACACACCAAGAATCAGATCTTCAAATCAGTAATCAGAATCTACTCCCTACACTTTCACACTGTGGTTTACTTAGAAAGTAACATGGCAAAACACTCCAAATCCTTACCCGGAAAGAACCCAGAAGCTGAGAGGAGGCAGAGCTACCATTTCTTAAGAGATCCCACCCACCGCTAGCTAATTCTTCCATTTTGATCAATCAGAGTACCCACTGGATCTCCGCATAAAGCTTTTGAGATATTTCCAGGCTCAAGAAGATTAAAGACCACAACTGTAAAACCAAAATTGGGTTGGATTTCATTCTAATCCCTCGACAACAATGCAACAATGTAGAGGAAAAACACATCAAACATCAAACTTCTGTTTAGTGCTATGAGATTGTTTTTAAGATCATAACAACATTCGGAGGATGAAGTTTTGAATCTCTGACCTCTTGGTCAATGATGTCCTAACCCGTTGAGCTATGTTGACGTTAGTTAGTGTTTTGAGACTAATCCTTCGACAACAATGCAACAATATAGAGGGGAAAAACACATCAAACTTCAAACTTCTATTTAGTGCTATGAGATTCTTTTTAGGATCATAACAATATTTGGAGGATGAAGTTTTGAATCTCTAACCTCTTGGTCAATGATGTTTTAACTAGTTGAGCTATGTTGACCATGATGTTTTAACTAGTTGAGCTATGTTGACGTTAGTTAGTGCTTTCAGATTAAACCATAATATTAAATTGATACGGTGAAGTCTTTAGAGATCAACCATGGCATTAAGCCAAAATATTAGACTAACCCTGAACATTATATTAATAATATAAACGAAAAAACGTACCGGGAATGTTGTTCTCTTCGCAGAAAGTTAATGCTGTCATGTCCATGCTAATGGCACCTCTTGATACTAACTCCCTGAAAGAGATGTGCTTGAATGTAAAATTGCTGTCATGCGAATTGCAGTCATACACCCCATCAACATTTGTACCCTTAAGAACTGCCTCAGCATGAACTAGTAAGAGAGAAAGGCATGTAAAACCATGTAAGCATTTAAATCCGAAAGATTAGCATATGTTGCATTGCATACTCGCAAACAAAATAGAAAAATGAAACAGGAAAAATCATGCAACAACGGACTAAAAGAGACAGAATAGTAGGCAGGGCCATACTCTCAGAAGCTCGAAAGGCCGCAGCTGTATCAGTGGAAAATAGGGGATTTCCAGTGCCAGCACCAATGCCACCAAATATAACTACTCTGCCTTTCTCAAGATGCCTTATAGCACGTTGCCTATTGTATGGTTCAGCAACCTCCTGAAGCATAAATGCAGATTGGACACGAGTCTGAACTCCCATCTTCTCTATTGCTGATTGGAGAAGTACTGAATTCATAACGGTAGCCATCATACTGTAGAGATGGTATTCAGGGTGTCAACATTAGCAATGCTTGTTAGACGGATGATGTTTATCCGGTGCGTTCTACTATCAAAGTCAGGATAAATAAGTATTTCATAAGCTACCACTACCAAGCATCTATCCAGTCACAAATAGCATATGGTACGTTCCAACATTGCACAAATTTAACAATCTTCTATTGATCTACCCCACAAACCTCAAATGCACTAAAGGCCTCAACTAAACATTCATTAGACCAAGTGTGACAACTTCCAAGCTTAGATACTTTATAAATCAAGGTTACAGTGGTACAACACAGATCGCATTCAGGGAAGGTCATTTTTTAGCTTTAGAGACAAGAAGGGAGGTAACCTTCTCAACCCCTTCATTTGCTTCCTAGAATACAAAATTACTTATATATTAAATATACAAGACCCCTTTCCAAGAGTTCAACATCAGAAAAACACAGGAATCCAATAAGAAGAAGGAAATAGAAAAAGGCATGTCAACACCAACAAAGATGAAGCGGATGGCAGTCTCATACAACTACAGAATGCCACAATGGACATATGATAAATCATAGCAATAGTATCAGTGTCAATGAAACAATTTTTAAAAATTAGAAATTTTTTGTAAATTTATCTAAATATCAATAATTTATTGAGATTTACACAATATCTTGACATTTTTCATGATTTTTCCCACATCTCTAGCATTTGGGGAAATAGCCTCTTGATTCCTATTCTGGATGACAGGCATCTAAGTTTTCATTAACATCAACAGAATGTAGGTCTGGAAGGTCTATGGTCTCTTTTTTAGGAGAGAAAGTGTGATTAAAGCTTTTTTAAAAAAGAACGGCCAACTAAATAATGAGAAAGAGGATTTAGATTTTGTATCATCAAGGAGGAGAGTAAAAACGCACCCAATTTGGTATGCTGTACATCTATCTAAACCTGTTGTAGTCACCCAAGAGTCTCCACAGAAGAAGTTCCGACCTCCAACAACAATTGCCACCTGCAATATTTTAACCAAAAATTATAGTCCAGTGTGAAAAAAGGGAAAGAAGCGATAAAAAATGGTGGGCAATAATTAATACCTCCACACCCAGGCGACAGGCCATTACAACTTCCCTGGCGATTGCCATTGCAACCTAATCATCAGAGAAACAAATTTGATGCTGGCAACTATCCAATCGTCTTAACGATAGAACATTATAAACTCACTGAGAATGTCACAAGAAAATTCTATTAAACCTTTGAGTCGATGTTGTTAGGACCAGTCCCTGCAAGAGCTGCACCACTGATTTTAAAGACGACTCTTCGCCACCTTGGACTGGTAACTGCTTTGGGTTTTACATTATTCATGTGACCAGCAGTATTGGGTGTGGGAAGAACATACCTGCCAGATCGATTGCAAAAACAAGAACTGTTGTCACCTCGTGAACAAAACTATCACAAAATGGCTTATTATTGGACGAAACTAGAAACATGGAACTCAAATCAAACTAAAAAAAAAAAGAGGTTGAAAAACCAGCTTATCATTAGCAAGAGGTTCATTAAACCATTTAAAAAATGAAGCAAATCAACAAGACATGTCCAAATACTTGTCTCTTATATATTCGTATAAACCAACTCCAAACTACTCAGCAGTCAGTACACATCACAATACACCATATTGGTAATAATACGATAAGGCATGCGAATGGAAACTGATATCTGCTTCCAAAGATTGGTTCATCCCGACAAACATAACCAGTTTCATTTTCACATAGGCAGACAGACAAATTATAAGTACAATGACAAACCAGCAAACTGCAAAGCACATGACCAATCGAACTGCACAAATGCTATGAACAAAGAGAGGAAACACCAGACAGAAATCATACACTATTGATGCACTAAAGATTTTTCCAGACACAGAAACCATTGTACATCTGAAAGTGTCACTGCGGCTAACACTGTTTCGGGACATAATTGTAAACATTCACATCAATTATTGTACGAGCTTGATCCAGTAAGATGTAAGAGCTGTTAATAAAGATATGCACTTAGAATTTCAAACTGCTCCTTTCACTGCAGAGCGATGACCAGTGAATACGAAATTCCGAGGATGAAAGAATTGCAGATATACAATCAATAACAGAAATTGTGTATCTTGTAGAGTTATTACTCAAATAGACAATTGACTATGCATTCAAGAACTCCTGGTAATTGAAAAACACACACAACACAGATCTGAAAGAAGACCCATTTTCCCAAAACATGTTTTGTTTTGTAGAATGGTAGATCCGGGGAAGAAAGAGACGGTAAGAAGTAGAACCTCTTTGATATCCTCGGAGTATTCCCTGATGAAGCAACACTCCGATCATCGTCAGACACAACCTTCATTGTCAAAGAATTTCCAACAATCTGCTCCATCTGCTTGAACCAAGGCCAGTGGCTGATCGAAACGCCACCGCTACTCATCCTCTGCCTCTCCAACTTATACCTCTTTTTTAAGTTGTCCACCTTGTTCTTACACTGTTCTACGCTCTTGCTCTGCTTCTCGCACCGTTCACTGACAGTTGCAGCCACTTCCTCCCAGTCCCTCCCCCTCAAATTTCCCCTATTCAGCTGCGTAAATTTCTCGGTATACGCGTCCAGAAGGCAGGAGATAGCCGCATCGCTCCACTCCTCTCGATCCTTCCTGTATTCTCCGCCACTGGAGGAAGGCTTCGCTCTTTTATAACTATAAGAACCTCCTTCCTCCCCAAGCTCATCCGACTGATCCTTCCTCTTCTCAACCCGCACATCAACACCAACACCAAGCCGATTCGGATCTCCATTATCAAACGAACTGGAGCAGAAAGCAGCATCACCATAATCCTCCCCATCGTCTTCCTCCTCCTCCTCATCTATCGGGCCGCCGATCTTCTTCGGACTTCCGGACGGCGCTAGAATCGGTTGAGCCGGTTGATTGGGAGGCGGCGGTGGCGACGCGTGAACGGAAGACGCTCGAGGCGTGAAGCGGTGAGGAGCATAGGATTGATGGATGTGGTTAGGAGTTGGTACATGATGGTGGTTGGCGGTAGATTGGTGGTGTTGTTGGTGGTGGTGGTGGTGGTCGTCGCTGAGGAGAGAGAAGTCGTCGTCACAGGAAGCCATTAGAGGACGTTAGGGTTAGGATTCAAGCTTCACCGGAACGACGGCGTTAGGGAAGGAGAGCCAAACGTTGAGGGCGTTTTCAAATTCTCACGAAAGGGATTTGACGGAACACACTCTACCGTGAACTGCTCAAGACTTCCCACGTCACGGCTTCTCACGGTTCCGTTAAGTACCGAGAAATTTCTATCCTCTTCCCACATGGTGGGGCCCTTATGCTTGAGGCTCCGTGACGATCGTTAACATGCCTTCTCGTTTCCATAAATACCCTTCTTAGTTTCACTAATTATCGATACTACCCCTACTTATCAAATCAGTCAAGTCCTTGATGGACAAAATATGCCACAAGTTTAATTAATCAATAAAATACCTTTTTAAGAATAATGACCAATAAAACACAGATATTTCAAAAAATAAATTAAACCTTTTTACATTTGCATACAAAAAGATAAAGATAATATAAAATGTTTATTCTATTTTCTTTTTCTTTTTTAGTACAATAAAACGTGGATGTATAAATGTAATATTAAATAATAAAGATAAAATAAAATGTTTAGGGTTTAGCCGCCATTAGGCTTTTTTTTTTTTTTTTTTTTTTT